ATAATCCGGATTGAAAAAATCCGAAAAGCACACCTTTCGGGTATAATAAGCGTAAATGCATACTAGAATGTTTTGAGCATTAATAATCTGGAATGCAAATACGTACACTGTAATGTCCCGGACAAGAGCTTTCGCGAATTAAACAAAAAAACAGTGATAGATGGCGATGTTTCGAATGTAAACATTCTGTCCGTACTGTGTAGTACGAACAGAATAAACTAATTAATATTAAAAAAAAAGGTAAGATAAGATCAACAGCTACTGGTGTAGGTGGAAAATTGGGAAGGTAGATGGGTTTAATGAATTTAATGTATTCTAGTAACGATAAACTAAAGCTTACGAAAACACTATTCTGAGCGGAGTTTAGTTGATAGTGATGCTTTGTCAACAATATACATGTCATTTTATAGTAATTTAATAAAAATAAAAATAAAATTTTTTTTTTTCAATGATATTCGTTTAATATTGTACCGATTTTCCAAATTTTTCTACGTTTTTTTCTAGTTTTCCCATGTTTCATTCCTCTATCTCTTTATTTACTCACTTGTAATGCTTATAATTGCCCATGTTCGCCATCTTTCTATACAAATATGTATGATACATATGATAGTTATACAGTTATAGAGTTATATTGAGATTAATGAAAAGTATAATATGTAATACTTTAATAGTAATGGCTAGTAGTTTTTCTATTCTGTGGTATTACCAGTTTTTTTCCAGAGTTGTAAAATAAACATATAAGAATAAAAGATAACGCAAAAGCTTTCGCTGCATCACCTATTTTGTGTAAGCGTTTGTGAGCATGGATCGATGGATGGATAGTTAGATTATTAGTCCAGTGTTATCACATTGGACTAACGATGGCTGCTGTTGATTGTTAATGATAATTAATATTGATAAGAATAATAAAAAACATAATACAGTTATTCAGTTATTTAGTCATGACTCATGATAAAATTATAATATTGTTAATGTATGGACAATCAATAGATTGACGATCAATAGATCGTCCTATATATTGAATATAAAACAATTTTTATTGTTGTTAATTTTTTTATGTTGATTTTCTTTTTTTCTATATACAAGAAGTCTACGATGTGCCACGTGAAATAACTTTTGTTCTAATCAATATTTTTGATATATTATTTTTTTTTAAATAATCAGTATGCGTCTGTGGTAGCACAGAGGTAGAGTGCTAATAAAAAGTTTATTTTTTTTTTTTATCTGTAAACAACTTTTATACCAAAAGACTTGCTCGGATTTCTACGTTTTGCATATTTTCTAAAAGGAAATCGGGGAAGTACTTTAAGGAAATCATTTTTCGATTTTCTCAAGAGTTTGTTTATGCGATTTGAAAAACTGAAAAAAAACGGGAAAATATAAGAAATGGTATTAGTTAAAATATATTACAGCTTTCTTTTTTTCTTTGCACAACTCTTCTACTAAAAATTTCGCTCCAACATTGATAGCGATGTTTCTGCAAGAAAATTTCACTAACGAGGTCATTTTTCGATTTTTCTAAAAGTTTTTTTAGAAAATGTAAAAAACCGGGATAAAACGTGGGAAAAACGTAGAAAAATTGAGAAAATCATTACAACATTTAACAAATATTATTAAAGAAAATATATAAAGCCACATGATACTATACAATAGTATCATTATTATCATTGTATCATCATAATTATAATTATTAATTAATTATAATTATGGCTTACAGGTAGACATTAAATAATCTATAACAGTGGCCGCACCCGTCCCCATAATGATCCTAAGACGTCTTTTTAATTATTTCACCTTCAAGGAGCGTGTTATAATAATTATAGATTATGGAATATGTATAATATTATTCATATTTATAGGCTGTTGGAAGTGATATTAACGTTACGGGTCATTAAGCCTTATACAAATATAATGCGGTGAAATTGTTATTAAAAAAAAAAAAAAAAAACAACTCTCGTGAGTTAACGAGATGAAAAAATATCACCACGTATTTCACATGCGTATTTTTTTATTATTATTTTTTTTTTTAACTCGAGTTGTCGAGAATATTTTCACGTTAACGGGTCTCCGCGTACCTACGCGACTGCGTATGTATATGATGAACGGTATTTTTTTTCACTCGGCTTTCGACAAAAATTAGTTGTATTTTTCATCCATTTTACAGCTAAATAGTAAGTTGTCACTTGCCACGTAACAATTTAATAATAGCATTATAATTATTTATAATGTTACCTACCTACAACTAAAATACAATAGAGGTGAGTCGTTTCTATAACTGGCAGTTAAAATTCGAATCATTGTAAATAAAATGAACAACACACTCGATTTACTTCCCATGAAATATTTTCTTTTTTTTAAAAAAAAGGTTACTAAAATCATTTTCTGATTTTAGGAAAGATAATTACACGGAGAAAACAAGTTGATAAAATCAGACCATACTTCAAAAGAACCCGTTCATCCGTTCAAAATTAAAATAAAATAGTAAATGAAACCTGAAACATCAAAATAAAATCATACTATTTTTAATGAATATAAAAGATATTAAAGATATTAAAGATCTTTAAACACTTAAAAAAAAAAAAACAACTATTGCAACTACCTCCAACTTTCTTTTTTATTTCTAAATACAACTTTCAATGAACCTCATGTTAAACTTTCAAGTATTACTGTTTGGTCAAACAATTTAGTCCTCATAATACCTACCAAATAAAAATAAAACAAAATTCGTAAATATTAAATACCTCAAATGCTACAAATGTTTTTTCTCGGTTTTTCTCAATTATTAAAAAAAATCACACAAAAATGACTTATAATAATAAGGACAATACTGTCTATGAAAATTGTATTAATACTAATAACTAATAATTAGCTATCAATGTTAATTTTTTTTAAATTTTTTTTTGTTTTTATCGCTAAAATTATATAAAAAAATAATTTTTATTGTATCACTTTTCAAAGTTTTCATAATTTGTCACTAGCGGGTAACTTTTCAATTTGCAAAAATCTTTCATGTTCTTCTGAAGCCATGAAAAGAGGGTTTTTGGGTTTCCCAGGTCCATTTTGTATTTCTTCAGGTGTTAGAATAATTATAGATTATAGAATATGTATAATATTATACATATCTGTAGGCTGTTGGCAGTGATATTAACGTTACGGGTTGTTATTAGGGCTAATATAAAAATAATGCGGTGAAATTGTTATTAAAAAAAAAAACAACTCTCTGCTGCGGCTGCTGGTTGGGTGGTACCGCGCATGTCGTTGTCGTCAAGGTTATGTTTACGCTGTAATAAAGAATATTTCTATAGAAATTTTAGCAAGTATCCAGCCAAAGATTGCGGTTCAAGGTCACCAAAATTTTTATCATTACATAATCACTTTCTTTGTATATGCCAATTATAATTTCATCATTTTTAATCTATACATTTTTTTAATAGCCTTATTATGTATATCAATTGTCATTGTTGTCTACTTTTTTTTCTTCTATATAAACCGAAAGATTGATATACAATATATCAGTATTAAGTATTATCTAACTGTGTTATTATTAATATTTATTTTAATACATTTATTTTAGTTTATATATTTCACCATTGAGCGATTTTAAATTTCTTCTGACGAAAACGAATCCGATAAATGTATCGGATTCGTTAAACAAATGTGTTTTCGGACGAGGAGAACGGTCAAATATTTCGTTCGGACAGATACTACGAAAAACACCAAGTTTTTAGAAAACGCGTTGAAATACCTCCTCTTCAGTGGTGCCGATCCATTCTCAGAAATCCGACAAGGAGTCGACACCAATTCGACAACAGAAACCAATATATCAATAAGACGATTCAGGTAAAGTGAGTATAACAGAGAAAATAGTGCCAATCGCTTACGAGGAACCTTTACCGATATTGCCGAAAAAGAGGGTTATGAGAAAAATAAAAAAATCATAAAGGGTATCAACAGAATTAATGAACTCAGTAGACAAAATTACAAAGAATTACAAAGAGGAAAGCAGAGAACCGAATCTTCGATCCCCCCCCCCCTGAGAAGGAAGTTATTCAGGATCCGGAAGTATTCGATCAGGTTCATATAAATGAATTCATAAAAAAACAATGGATTTAATTTTTTATTGTATTTTTTTAAAAAATTTGCTGTACGCCCCATGTATATGAAATAACACATTTAACAAACAATGGGTCAAACAATTTAATAATATATAAATAACCATTTGTTAATATTATAACGGGTGGACCATGTAATGGCATGTCACCTTTACTTTAATACGTGTAGTGTCGCTACCTAAAATTTCACGTATAGTTTCAAGGTAAGATTGTTCGTAATTGGGTTCATTTCAGAGTACTAATCGTTTTCCATAACCATCTTGAAAACTAAAATTATTATGTTTATTAGCCGATCCGAATATACCGTATGATAAAAAACATGACGCAACGACATCAAAAAAAAAGTTTTTTCCTGCAGCCGAACCTCGAGAATAAATTAATAACGTATTTAATTTTGGAATTTTTTTTCTAAAATATTAAATAGTACTTATAAAAAATCAATTATCTCATTTTCATTATCATGGTATTGGAAATTTAATAATTCTATCGCAATTTGAATAGATGTATCTACATCATAATACGTTTCTTCGAAATTTGATTGACCCTGTGGTCAATCAAATGCCTATGCATTAAAATACGGTTTGACTCTACGATCTTTATAATAATTATTGTAATCATGAATTTACGTAATCTCATTAACCAATTACGAACTTCGTTATTAGGAAATTTATCTGATACGGCATATGTATTTAATTTAGAGTTAGCATAGAATTATTTTATCCTTCAAAAGCATCGGGCGGACAACAAGGATATTTACACAACAATTCAGAAAACGTCTTCACTGGCATCACTTCGACCATTTCTGATAATTTCGTAAACTCGTTATTGTCGCCTTCTTGTCTTCAGCTTTTTCCTTCAAATAATATATATCTATATTTTTATACGTAGTTGCGCCTGGCTCCAACGAAGTGGTCTATTTATCAAACATGTCCGTCACCTCAATAGAAGAAGAATTCCAGTCTGTTCTTTTACGAGATTGGCGCTCACACGAATCTTTAACTATGTTCAGACGGCCGCTTCCCAGAAGATGTACAGCTGTCAGACGATCCCGAAATTTTACACCTACAAACTAGAATTCTACAAGAGCTCCAAAATCACGAGTATGAAATATTTTTATATTGTATATAGCAATGTCTAAATATAAAATTTAAAAATGTTTAGACCTCGACCCAAAAGAATGGTGGAAGCAAACTGTAGCGATGGGTATAGAGACTTGCCCGAATGATGGAACGGCTATACAGAATATCGGAAGAACACTAACGATCCTTTTGAAGGAAATAGCTGGAGACAAGAAAGCGACAATAACGAGTTTACAAAATTATCAGAAATGGTCGAAGTGACGCCAGTGAAGACGTTTTCTGAATTGTTGTGTAAATATCCTTGTTGTCCGCCCGATGATTTTGAAGGATAAAATAATTCTATGCTAACTCTAAATTAAATACATATGCCGTATCAGATAAATTGCCTAATAACCAAGTTCGTAATTGGTTAATGAGATTACGTAAATGGACTATTCATGATTTCAAAGAAACGTATTATGACGTAGATACATCTATTCAAATTGCGATAGAATTATTAAATTTCCAATACCATGATAATAAAAATGAGATAATTGATTTTTTACAAGTACTATTTAATATTTTAGAAAAAAAAATTCCAAAATTAAATACGTTATTAATTTATTCTCAGGGTTCGGCTGCAGGAAAAAACTTTTTTTTTGATGTCGTTTCGTCATGTTTTTTATCATACGGTATATTCGGTTCGGCTAATAAACATAATAATTTTAGTTTTCAAGATGGTTATGGAAAACGATTAGTACTCTGAAATGAACCCAATTACGAACAATGTCACCTTGAAACTTGAAAGTCCGCCCGTTATAATATTAACAAATAGTTATTTAAATATTATTAAAAACCCATTGTTTGTTAAACGTGTCATTTCATATACATGGGGCGTACAGCAAATTTTTTAAAAAAATATAATAAAAAATTAAATCCATTGTTTTTTTTATGATTTACTTGTACATTATAAGATTATAGAAGATAAGACAAATTTTAAATAATAAAATATTTTATTTCAAGAAAATGTTATTTATTATTATATACAATTTTTATTTCCTTGATTCCATAGTCCTAGACGTAGTGTCAGAAACTAGGTACAATAGGTACAATTGGTGTAATATAATTATTATTAAATGATGACAAATGATCATGATAATAATATTTGTTATTAGATAAGAAAGTATAAGGTCCATTTTCTGAGTGTACATGTGGTCTGTCGAATACAGCGAAATGATTAAGACATCAAAAATCATTTTTACATTGTAAATCCCATTGACATTCTACATCTGTAAATTCTTCTGGCACTATAGTATGAGAAGTTTTAGTCATTTTTGGAACAGGATAAACGCCAACATGAAAACTCCATGATATAATGTTGTAATCCAGATGTATAAGGTCCAGTAAAACCAATACGAGCAAACTGTCCCATTTCAATTAGACTATAGTATCGTGTTTGTTCAGCAAATATATTATCAAACCTTTTCTTATCTAAATGCACTATGGAATTTATGGATTTATGGTTTTCTGTAAATGTTGACATATCAACTATTTGTATAGTATTCTTTTGGAAAGATCTCATATTAGCCATTCCAAATTCTTTTGTTGTCGGATTTACTGAATTGACATAGCCATTAAACCGCGCATTCCATGGCGGTGTAAGATAAGATATAGCTGGTGTATAATCATACACATATACTGTTTTTCCAATTAAAGAACTTGCGTCACATTTTGAAATAAATTCATTGATCCTTGACCATGAAACCTTATCATCGGCTGTTTTTGTCGCCGTCATACAATAGTAATCGTTATATTGTTAATTGTTATAAAATAATGGCATATTACAGTATGATGACGGTAATCTGTCAATATAAATTATTCTGTCAATATTCAGGTCTTTTGAACTGTACATATGACTCACTATTTCTTCATGGAATTTTTTATTAATAGCCTCTGTCGTTACTGGTACCATAGAATGTGTTGTATTTTATGTAAATTTTCGGTTTACATCCCGTGTATACTTATTTAATGAATGTCCAATACATATAAATTTATTTTGATTCAGTGTTGCCAATGTACTGGTAGTAGCTGCGGTTTCAAAAGCTGTTCTTGGGTTTCTTAAAACAATACGAACAGATACATGTTTTACATAACTCTTGGTAGCATATCAAATTCTGAAGGAGAGAGGATAAATAAAAAAAGGACGATCGACAGGAATACTCATTAAACTACTCGTTCCAAAAGCCATATTATCACTTGCTGTATCTTTAATGCTTGTCCAAACCAATCCGTATGATATAAAAGAATGATGTTTTCTAAATACCATTCTACATCCGGCCTTGTCGTCAATTAGACGAGGTATAACAGCGTTTTCAATACTAGGACTACCAGTATCTGGGTCCATATCTGAATTATCCCCCGTGCCAGGAAACGTCTTAGCTTCTTTGGGGTACTTGTAGCACCTGACCTTCCTTACGTTTATCTGGGGTACCGCCACTTGAGGAAACATCATTCATATAATAATATGAATGATGGTAATAACCTAAATATGAGGTAATAACCTTGTGGTTCAATAATATTTAATTCTTTGTCACTGTAAGGATCGTCTATATTTTTGTAATCTGGACTGGTAATACTTGTATTTTGTGATACGGTATCTGATGGATCTGCTGGAGCCACTTAACTTAAATCACCTAAAATATAAATAGGTAAATTACGACGTTTTCTTGCGATATTGTATTGCTCTATAGCATAACGCTTTTGAGATTTATTTAAACTATTCTAATTAGATCTATTTGGAGGAGGAGGCCCTTGCCATCTAAATGACGTAATTACCTCTTTTCCTTGTTAATCTCTTTGTAAACCAGCCGATTTTAACTCATTCTCCTTTAGGTCTACGATATGCAGATAATCCAAGTAAATCTTCCAACGACCTTTTCAAAGTCAATCCCACAGCTGTATCTACGTCTGCATAATAATCAGCTGAAGCACTCTAATTATCATAAATAGCTTTCCAGTCCACCTCTGACAATTCGTCTAGACGAAGGGTCTAGGTCTATCGACCTAGGGTCGATAGATGTTTCAGTAGATAAATTATGATAAGCAACGTCGTGTGTTCAAATGTACTCCAATCGTGAGGATTTTTAGGTAAATTTTTACCGTTAAAGAAAACGTTTTTAGATATAGCGTTATTACCCGGTCCTGTATATTCAGATCCGAACCAAACGTGGTTATAACGCGGAATAAAGATTCCGCCATTAGGTCCTAATCAATTACTCACTGATTGTTTCGCACTACCTAACCATTCGCGGATATCGCGGCCATACTAACTTTCTTTTACTTTCTTTTAAGATAAAAAAAAAATACTAACATCTTTGTAAAACCATCAGCTTCTTTGCTCCGCTCAGAATCTTATATATCCAATTGCTAAACAATATATTGTTTAGCAACACAAATATACTACACAAATGCTACACCAATATTTTAATGGTTTTAAACGGGTAAAATGACTGATACTCAAAAAAATATAATGCATATTGTATTTATTGTTTATAAATTATTATAAATTATCATACAATAATATATTATATATATATATATATTTTTTTTTCTATGTCACTACATTCAATGCATAATCCCGAAAATCGTAGAATTGTATTATCTTTAGGCATAACCAACGGACTAAGGTATAATGGGGTAGAAGTATAAGATAAACTGGCGTCGGGTACATATCTATGAGCCAAAACTGTTTCGATAGGAAGGTAAGGAGGATGCAGATTTGCAAGTTATAAACATCGACTGATTTTAACGCCATCTATATAATATTAATTGAAATTGACCTATAAATTCCATGCTATCTCAACAGGTTAAGGAGATGTAGGATTTTTTTTTCAAAATGATTCCACTTGACAGTGTTTCACTCACTCGGTGTTCGTATATATACGGTGGAAGTGGTTAAGAAATGAAACATTTGATACTTCTCTTCCCAACACCTCTAGCTAATTTGATGCCGGTTCATTATTATACCGTGATCCGCGGATGTTAATTATTTAATCATCAGTTAGTTCTATGACAATGGCAAGACCACGATTATTACTTATTATATTATCTGCTTATTATCACTCACAATTTTGTATTTTAAATTTAATTACCAATCAAAGAGTGTTTACATTCAATATATAGGATAATATAATAGGATATGTACTTGTTTTATTTAGATACACCCAAAAGAAAATTAGTCCATGTGATCGAGTGTCTCGCATTGCTTTTTGTGAAAGTCTATTTTATATTATATGAATATAAAACGACATTGTAACTACATTGAACATAATAATATAAACGACAGGCGTTTCCAATCGCTGTACATTTTACCACTATCTGTCGACTATGTTGCATTCATTTATAACATTATATACACACATACAAATAATATGTAATGATATGTAACGGGGTTTTTTTTTTTCTTTTTTCCCTATTCCTTTTTCAGATTTTTATTAATGATTCCGATGACGGCGTATATATTATAATACCTAACTGCATTGCCAATACGCCACGCGTAATGTGTGGAACATATGCTTGTCATGTCCCAGCCAGCATTTTTCATTCATACCGATTGTGTGAATATTTAAATATAAGTATTGAAAATTAACAGTTTGTACAACTACTGTCAACATATGTAAATACGAGTGCGGCCTGTATTATACATTTAATTTAAAATTTTTATCATCAAGTGTTGATTTTCAGTCGTTTTGAAATTTTTTTTTCGACTATTATGACTATTATAGGCAAGGGCCACTAAATGGCGGCCCGCGGATAAATTGTATACAACCCGTAGTCAAGTAGGAAAGAAACGAAAATATAATACGATATTTCAGTATCGTAATTTTTTATTTTCGAGCAAGATTTGTCGCTTATCCCAATAAAAAATATTCTAGTTTTATAATATAATATTATTAATTTTAATTTTATATCGTTTCAAATTTTTATAATATTAATTACGTTCTTAATATTATTAAACAATAGCAAAAAATAAATAAATAACAAACAAATTATGTTCTCATTACTTTAAATTATATAGTACTACATAATTATACGTATTATATTATATTGTGTCCTAATATATGTTAAAAATATGAACTTTGAATTTTGATGGCCCGTGAATTTCACTCTAGAGTGTAGGTGCAGTCCACATGGAAATGCTTTGAAAGGGGCAAAGAACTGAACACAACGTATTGTTGTTGGCGGTCGCGCCGAAACGTGTATTTATCAACAATGAATACAACTGTGTAATTAACGATTACGTTAATTAATTACTTCTATTAAGAAGTAAACTAAGTAAATACTTAGTTACTTAATAAACAAACGAATAACTTAACATATAAATAATTAGTTAAGTAATACTCGAGATCGTACATTTCGGTTACATAGACGACATGGATTCGTGATCGAAATATTTTAGTTAGGTGCCGACTAGAGCGAATGGCAGTTACGATTTCACGAATAATAATGGAGGTCATTGTGAAGTTGTGACGACGCTGCAATCCTTAGATGACCCTCCGGTACATCAGAGAGGTCATTTTTCGATTTTATCAGGAGTTCTCAACGCATTTGAAAAATTGAAAAAAAAAAACAGGAAAAATATTCTTACACTTCTTATTGGTATAATGGCTGTAATAACATTCTATAATTGATTATTATTATTACGATTTTATTGACTGCACACTTCTTTATTCTGAACTTTTAAAAATTATTAAAAATCACGAATTTAATGAAAATATAAAGTCGACGGGGTAAAATGTCCAGAAAAATAAACCCTATAAAATGGCTAATTTCAAGTTTTTCAAAAAAAAATGAACATAAAAAATGAATTGCAATATACATTTATTTGTAGTCCTTAACCCAGTGGGCAATAAAAAATAAACCTCCGAAGTCCGGAGATCTTACGGTTGGTGTATCTTACAAAAAAAAAAAAATATACGACAAACGTTAAACGCACAATTATTGTTAAGGCGAAACCAACCATTGGGTATTTTTAAAACCGCCGAATTTCCCGGCTAATAACGCGTTCGAGAAACGAGAAATCAGGGTGTAAAATGCATTTTTAACGGCAATTTTTCCGGGGCGTTTTCGGAACGTTCCGAATGCACAAGCGCTGTCGTTGGTGGTGTCCCGCGGGTGATTGGCCCGTCGCCGGCGCCGAAATGCGTGTAAATGCATACACGGGCGTATGTACAAAGAGCGACGGCCGCTGAACCGTTGCCGCAGCTTTCTAACCGGTCGCGGCTTGACGCCCGGAAAAAAAAAAAGAAGAAAAAAAAACCACAATACTAATAACGATAACGATATAGTAACAATATTGTTATTAATATTTTCGACACGCGCGTCAAACGGACGGCGGGCAATGCTACGGGAGCGTTCGGTATGCGCGCGCGCGGTAACGCGGGCGTACACGGACACGGCGTCCGCAGCGCCCGAATGTTACCAACGGTGACGGTGATTAGTAACGGCGATAATAATGTAACACAAACATAAAACAGTAAATAGTGAATAGTAAAATGCGCGGTGTAAAATACGGGCCGGCGCGTCCGGCAGTCGGCGCGCGACGGCGGCTCTCGTCGCGAGCTACGTGAAAACGTACCGCGGCGGGCGCGCGTAAACGCTCGCGCGTTAACAGGCGGCGGTGGCCGCGCCGTCTCCGAGAAACGGTCCGCGACGCGCGCGCGCGCGTCGCGGGGGCCCATTGAAATATCGCGGTCCGCGGCGACGGTCGTAATTAATCGTCTCGGCCGATATTAATCGTCACGGCGCCCGAGCGTCCGTTACCCGTTGCCCGTAAATTGCGCCCGCGCCGCGGTGCCGCCGACTCGGCCGCGGTCACTGCGGTTACGCGGGGCTTACCCGGGCTACTGTTGATTGCGCGCGCGAAAGAATATTGTACGCGTATCGCGCGGCCCGTGCGCGAGACCGCGGACCGAGAAAACGTAATAATAATAATAATAATAATAATAATAATAACAACGTCGCGTTTCGTGAGCGTATAGGTTTCGCCCCCCCCCCCCCCCCCCCCCCCCCCCCCCCCCGCCCGCCCGCCCGCCCGCCCGCCCGGCCCGTGATTAATAGTGAGCCTAATCGTAATGACTTGCACGCATAACGCGCGCGGCGTTTACACTGTTTGAAAATCCGTCGGCGCCGCGATGTGCTGTGGCACTGCCGCGCTCACGGGCGCCCGGGTACGCGGTATGTACGGTAATAACATTGAACGTGTATGACGCGTTGTGCTGCGCACTTCGGTTCCGCGGGCCGCGGCCTGTCGATCCTCGCGAGGTCTTTCCTCGGCGGCCCGAAGGGGGTGGTGTATTCGAACCGCGGGATCCGCGAAAAAAAAAAAAAATGAAAAAAAAAAACGGGTGCCCGGGGGTCCGGAAAAATACAACGAAAATTACGGCTGCACCCGAGTACCGTCGTCCCAACAACCGTTTGGATACCGAGTGGAACGAAAAAGCGTATTGGTTT